CTTCCTTTTTAAAATGTAGCTTTCAGGTTAATCTGGTCACACACAGTTCACACTAATGGTAATACCAGTGTACCCAAGCATTGAAAAATAACATAGTTGCTGCTTAGGCCATGCTGTCAGCATACATTTTAAAGAAACTGGGGCTGTACTGCCAAATGTTCAGCCCATTCTTGTCTCTGGGTCTGTGAAACATGTAGATTTCATGCAGTTGGAATGTTAACAAGACTGATGTTCCAAGCTCCTGTCCTTCAAAGGATGTGCCAATGCATAGTGATTTAATCAGACAAGCTGTGTTATTACTGTATTTAGGGTAGCCAGTTTAGTGGTTATGAGGAGGAGAGCCCAAGCCATGGCACTGGGAAGGGATAGAGTGCTGATGGGGGAAAAGTTAGATATTCCAAGTCCCTGCTCTGTTAAATGGTTGTGAGAGCCTTTCCCTTGCTTGCTTCATTTGTTCTGCTTTTTGCAAGCATATTCCATGGACAAAGACCCATGCATTACCTGCAAGCTGTTCTGTTCTTTCTGCTCATTAATGCTGTACACTGACTTGCCTTTCCCTCCCTTCATGGGCTTGTTTTTGTTTTTTTCCTGCAGTGCTCTGAGTCCTGGCATAACCTTTGCCAGCATTTCAGTGCTATCGACCGACTGATCAGCAGTGCTTTCCTCTTACCCTGAATGCTCATGACACATTTCCCCAACTTGATGCATCAGGATCTTGATTCTTTCGTGACCTACCCATGATATTTCCTTCTTCTCCAAGCTGAAATGTGGTTGTGAGGGTCTCAATAGCTGGAGTTTGATGTCCCCTCCTGAAAAACTCAATTAATTGAGCTGCTCTCCTTTACTTTGCAGTTATATCTCTTGGAGGGACACAGCTAAATTCTTGACTGGCTAGATGGCTTCCTTCTTGCTGTTTACTGGTTTAAGTTAATGCTTAATCACCTGATATTAATCAGAAGGAGGCACAGAAGCAGTCTGTGAGGGTCTGGGCTGTAAGAAGGGAATGAGGTAGTGAAGTAGGGGACTGTGGGGGAATTTGGGACCTTAAAGTTTCAAACCTCACCTGCATTCAGGTTGCTGGAACAACAATGAAGCTCTTACCCCAGCCAAAAGGATATGCTTTGTAGGCTTTGTGGGACTAGATAGTTTGCAATAAAGAGAGGGAAAGGAATGTGTCTAAGACAGTGGTTGTACAATCTCTGTAAGCTGATGCCATGGCCAAAAGAAAAGGTCCTGGAGGCTCTTCTTTGGAACCTTCTTAGGTGTTTCTGCCTCAGCTCCACAAGCTACCATCTCCACAAACCTACCTATTTGAAAGGCTAATTTTATGTATATTTTCATGTATCTGCTACAATGCAGATACCGGGTTGGGTCTTTTCTAAGATGAACTTGTTTTTGTGACCCCACTAACCAGTGCCAGCTTCAGGCTGCATAGGTGTGAAGTGAATGGAAGGTGGGATAAACTGCATAGTTTACTCATGGAGAGCTTGTCAAATGAACTGAGGTAATTTTTCTGACTGCAAGTGATGGGGAGGGGGTTTAAAGATGATAGAAGTCCAGAGAGCCTAACTAAAAGCAGCATCAATAGTCATTGATGCTAGATGTTAAATTGATGTTAGATGGGGCATTTTTAATGGAAAATAAGGGGTGAGGTGCTAAAAGTGCTGCTTAGCATAGAGACAAAATATTGTGGTTCTGTTTGCTGACATGCAGCACTTCTCTGGAGCTGTGTATGAAGCTTTCATGGTCTGTCTGTGATACTGCTGTAAACAGAGAAATAAGTTAGTGCTTATGATAGCTTTCTGCTGTACTTTAGACATACAACATTCTAATCAGAAATTTTTATTTTTTTTTCCATAATAATAGCAAAGAAAAATAAATTTCAGTAGCCAGCAATGTTTTTTATTGTTAGAACTGTTTGTTAGCATTTGTGAGGAAGGTCAAAAGTTTTATGGGTGTATTGACATCCTGTAATTTCTGAGTTTTGAGGTTTTTCCTTGGTTCGGACACCTTCACTTTCCATCACTAATGGTGGTGTGTCTTTTTAAAAAAATATGCTGTCACAGTATTCTGAGAAACCTGAAGGTAGAGCTTGCATGCTTGAAAAGATTATCAAAAAGCTCAGCTTTGCTTTCCTTTTGTCTTTTATAATTTTAAAATTTTTTTAAGTGCAAACTCATAGGCTTTAAATTTGTTGCCTTTCCCCCACCTTATTAAGCCCATTATTCCTG